CCGTCACTAACTCATCACAAGTATGTGCATCACAATCTTAGCAGCAGATACCGACAACATGAAAATGCGTAAATTGTATAACGCATATCAAGAGCAGAATTTAATTTTGAACATAACTCTACGTCGAGCAAAATATCAAAATTCAATTAAACTTTTGCAACAAGCCACCAATCCGAATTACATACTCCACGACCATCCCTTAACCGCAAAATCCTTCACTACAAGTTCCCTGTCCAATCACTATATATACATACACGCCATTAGAATTTTCTAAAAGCTTCTAGAAGGGCAGCGTAAACCTGTTGAAATTTTGTACACGTTATATCAACACCAATGACGTTTAATGTTGATCAAAACACTGTTTTCGTAACATGCAGCTGGATCAGTGCCAAGATGAGTAAATGCTGATCTGGACACCAAAGCAGCCACCCATCGCAATTATCTGATCGTTGCTTAAAAATAAACAGACATTCGTTCACCAAGCTCTGCCTTTTATTTCGGTGTCTCCAGTTGTATGATTTTCCTGTTAGCGCATTGAACTTTAAGTGGTGTCAGAGTAATGCCTAGAAGGTCGGATAACGCCATTTCAGCTAAGAGTACTTACTTGAAAACCTGGTTTTTTTTGCCATCAATTTTCCTATATTTTTTCCATGTTGGCTCTCAGAAGCACCTGTTCATCTGCACAGTTTCAGAATTGTCTACACATCCTTCATTAACGCCGTTTTCATATCAGTGGGTTGTGTAATACACAGCTTGGGATCCTGTAACAGCGATCCTAGGAGTTTAGAAGCGTCATATCAACTACGGGTGCAATTCCCCTACTCACGCTTCTCATATTTCCTGACCATTTCTCGCTCCGCTGAAAAATACCTGCGGGATCGCAATGTTTTAGATGTGTACATAGGGATTACCGATCCACCTTATAAGGTGATCAGAAAAAGTCATTGGGAAGGACTTTGTGAAACACGTACTGATATATCCATATGCCAGAAAAATTCTCAATTGTTCCTTTCGTGACTTTATTATGTTCCTTTTTTTTTTTTTTTTTTTTTTTTTTTTTTT